TCACCTGAGTTAGAGAATTTCATGGAAATATAAGCTAAGTTTTTATAATTATTGAATGTTTAGAGGCTAAGGAAATTATTTTCAATAATATATGATGCTATGAGGCCTCAGGTTTCCCACAATCAACATGGAGACTGTGTAATTTGAGGTTTTCTTTGCTCAGCTATGTTCCTCTGCCCTTCTCTGCCCCAAAGAAACATGTAGATACTATATTAGTTATAACCTTTTGGCTGGCCACTTGGGATTCTTATTTGTAACCCATAAATACTAATCTATGTATTTCCTGTGGTCTTCTCTTACAAGAGAAAAGGTCTGGGCCTCTTACTCCATTGGGGTCTCATGTGATCAGATAGCTCAGTCAGTAGATCATGAGACTTAATTTCAGCGTTGTGGGTTCATGCCCCATGTTTGGCACCAGAATGTTAATGTAGTCCTTAATTTATCTAGATAATAAAAGACCAGAGTCAGATATAGAGGAAAATGCTGAAAGATCAGAGAGAAGGAGCAAGTTACAGCACGCCTTGCCTTCTAAGTGTCTTCACAGCGAATAGAAAAATTTCCTGTTTGTCCCTGCTTATATTCGGTTACTGCCCAGCTATGTCACTTCCTGCCTGTCTGTACAGACCTCCAGACCTCTATGGGTAACTAGTGGCGAGCTTCATTCTCTGACATCCAGACAGGCTTTATTTGTGCAAGAAAGATATCACCACAAAACTGTAAGTGTTTGATTTCATGAATAATTCTAAAAAATTCCAAGAATCATTGCTTAGATACATAGTAATCTTTTTCATCATGCAGCTTAGGAAATGGTGCACAAGGTAAGTAGGAAAATTTCCTCTTTGTATCATTTCCAAGTGTAAATACATTAAACTTCCCTAACACATTTCAATATCTTGTGACATAAAATTTTGTTATCCTTATGAATTTAAAATATTTGCTTAAATATGAATTTTCTATGAAGTCATTTTTAAAAAGAAATCAAAGGCATATTTAAATGTATAAATACTTTATGTCTTTAAGCATGAGTTTCTTTCCTTTATAAAAAAAACAGAAAGAACAACTGAAATTTAAAAGTATTACAAAAAGGTATTACAAATTAACATGAAAAGAGAGGAATATATTGACTTCTACCGTTATTGGCAGATCTTTGATTAATTTTTTGGATATAACATAAGATAACATTATAAAACAAACAGCAATTAATATGGATTTTCTATAGTTGATCACTGCATTTTCATCATTTTATACAAGAAATTATTCCCTTCCTAATTTGATAGTATATTTATTGTATGACATCTCAGCAAAGTGTCCAAATATTTGAGTGTGTTTTATATTCTTACATTTTCCTAACTTTTAAAATATTACTGCTTAGAATGATGTGATAAGTAATGGATTTCTGCCATTTAGCATTATATCTAGTATATTTGCAAGTAAATAATATTCATTCGAGGTCAGCCTGGTCTACAGAGCAAGTTTCAGGATAGCCTCCAAAATAATACAGAGAAACCCTGTTTCAAAAACCAAAAAAATATTCTAATTCATTGCCATTATTTCCATGTTGTCTATGTCCTTACTATGGTAATCACCTATACCTATCAAAATTATTACTAAGTACATATAAGTCATATAACAATAACAACAATCTGGTTATTATCAATTATTCAAGAATTTTCTATCTTGTCAGAAAGGGGTAACTCTTATGTTAGGGTTTATATCTATTTTTTATTAAAACTGCATTAGCAGTTATTTTCATTAACACATTATAGAGTAGGTTATATTTTATATACCATGAACATTTTACTCAGGAGATGACATTCTAGTTTTTTTCCTTATTTATTTTTGAAATTTTAATTATATTTCCTCATTTCCTTCCTCCAACCCTCCTTACTTTTTCTCAAATTCATGCTTTCTTTTTTATTGTCAATGCATGTATATATGTATAACATTCTCTGTCAGTAGCCTGTATAGTGTTACTGTGGTAGTTCAAATGAAAACGACTCCATAGGCTCATAGGGACAGGCACTGTGGGAAGGTGTGGACTTGGAGTAGGTGTGATGTTGTTCGAGGAAGTGTATCACTGGAGGCAGGCTTTGATATCTCAGTCTAATGTGTCTCAGTCTCTTCCTGTTGCCTGTGGATCCAGATGTAGAACTCTCAGCTCCTTCTCTAGCACCGTGTCTGCCTGCACAATGCCATGCTGATGATAGGGGAAACTTCTGAAATTTAAGGCGGCACTATTGAAATGTTTTCCTTTGTAAGAGTTGCCTTGGTTACGGTGTTTCTGCACAACAATAGAAACTCCAATACAGTTACTTTTATGTATATGTTTTCAGGACCAATAATTTTCTATTAGATATCTAATTGATGTATTATCTCCTGAGTAAGACTATTTCCCCCACTCTTAGAATGTCTTAGTTTTATATAGTTCTTTGTGTAAGATTGTGACCTCAAAGAGTTTGTTGTTGCTTTATCTCTTATTACTTTCATCATTGGAAAAGTCAAGGATAAGCTTGTCCAGATGACTATCCTGTACCGTAGTATTTATGGTAAAAATATATGACTTGGGAATATTTATCAGGATTCACAATAATAAGGAGGCATACACTATCTTCTATTCCTTAATTGACTTGCGATTCACTTTTTTATAACCTGCTGTCCCAATTATAGCTAAGATATTTTCATCTTGGCAGCTTACCTCGATTGTCTGAGTCTCTCCTATTTATCTGGAAAGTAGTTACTAGATCTATTATAATCTGTCAATTGTCATTTAATAAGTTTAAAGCACTAATATTCATGTAGATTTTCATCTTATTACACATAGGGGATATAAAATCAAAGAACCACAAATCCTTCTTGATTACTTGATAAAGTTCTAACATCAGCTACTGTTTGTTTCAAGCTAAGTAGGTGGAGGAAATTTATGTACACTAAATAATAGGTACACTGATATAAAGTAACACAGACACCCAACATTGGTCTTAAAGAAATTATGAATATTTGAGATTTACAGACTGTGTTCTATAGTTTAGGAAGAGTAAGAAACATGCAAAGGGAAAAAGCAATATATGGAAATAGACAGCAGAGTGATAGCATTGTAAATTTTATTTTTCTATTGAGATATTTTGAGTATATTTTAAAGTGTTTTAATTATGATGCAACATTAAATCTGTATTCAGTTTTTAAGGGCAATATATGGATAATAATGACACAAATAAATTTTCTTCTTTTTCTGCAGTCCCTTTAGATACTTTACACAAAATTGAAATGAGGATATGTGTTTAATAATGCACAAATGTTATTGTCTTCCAACTGATGAATGTTTATATCTGGATTTTTGTAGTATATATTTCAGGTGCACAGGATATTATTTTGATGTTTATACTGAACAATTAATATAAATAATTAATATAATAAAACACAAGATCATTCTATTCATCTTACGTAGTTAGTCTTTTAAAACATTCTTTTTTGGTAGCTGCATGTAAAATTCACTTACACCAGGAAAATTCTAGCACAGAGTACAGTATTATCATTATATTCTTCACCTCATGATTTACTTGGTTCTTGAAACTTTGAAATGTAGTCATTTCAGATATCAGGAGATTTACCTCTTTTGTATACATGTCCGCATTTCTGACTCAGCTGCCCATAGTCACTGTGATTTATTCATTTATATTATCCAATTTTAATTATATTTGTATCAGTTCCTTAAGAATTTCATAAATTCATATAACACATTTTAAAATTCATTTTTATCTCATACAATCCATCCCAAATACTTTTATTAAATCCTCGTCTCCCCCAGCTATACTCAGATTCACCCCACTGTGTCCAACTGTACCTATGTACTCATGAGCTGTTCATTGGACATTCTTACTCACCAGTGGTCATATCCTTAAAGACAACTGACTCTTCCTCTTTCCTAATCTATAAATTTTCAATATCTCCTTGCTAGACATGAGAGCTTGCTGTCCACTCCACAAATATATAATGAAATGCCGAGTGGCTTGATTTTTGTGCTTGCAAATAAACGTGATGTGGATAAATGTATATCATGGTCTTGTCATTGCCACAAAACAGTTTCACTCCAGGCTTCCCCATCGTCTGAATATTAAGCATCTTTCTGCCACTTCTTCCAAATTGGTCACTGAAGTGTGTGGGGAAGATGGTCTGATATAAGTAAAAAATGCATGAATGATCATTTCTTTTTCTTATGTTCTTCCCTTTAATCTGCTGAGTTTCTGTAGTAACTGCCATTCACTACACAAACTTCTGCAATGATGTCTGAAATTTGTACAATAGACCTATAGAACACATATAAAGGAAATCATTAGTTATTTGTCTTTTGTCTGACTTATTTCATATACCACAATATCCTCTAAGTTCACTTAGTTTGTTAAAAATGAAAAAATCTTTTTGTGATTTGAGGGGACAGGGTGGTTGTGTAGATGAGTGAATGCCCAACTTAACACAGGTTATATATCCCTTAAAATCATTCTTAAGATTTATTTTTAAATTAGTTTTTTGTGTATGGCTTGAGGAGGGTATTTGTACACGAAAGTAGGTACCAGTGGTGGTCACATGTGACAGATCTTCCTGGATGTGAAGTTATAAATGGTTTGAGAGCTGCTTGATGTGAGTACTGGGACATGAAATCAGGGCCGATAAAAAATAGCCCTGGAATTTAACACTGTGGTATATCTTTAGTCTCAGCCATCTCTGATTTTTCTAAGGACAGATCATTTTATAGTAAATGCATAAATGAATGTATTCATCCATTGGCAAGTGTATTTAGTTTGTATGATGGGAATTTATCTATGTGGTTATCTAGTTTGACAGTAAGGCAAAAGCTAGAAGATGCATAACCTAACTTTCTCCGTTTTGGCTTTATGGAAAATTTTATTGCAGTACTCCAACAGCACATCAGTTTTTCTTTGTAAAATCTTGCTCCGCAGCTTCCTTTGCCCCTTTTGCTCGGATGCCAAAAGAGCCAGCATTGCTCAAGCCATGTGAAGACTGGCAAAAGCCTTGAATTTGTTCTCTTCTTTTGTGATAACTCTGGCTTTCTCATTTATGTAGACATTTCTGATGGGCATCACAAGTCCCTTTGGCTGGGTGGCGAGTTTAAGTTTTTTAGCAGAACTATCTCCCTTCTTTGGAGCAGACGGCTTCCTGGGGAGAAGTATGAGCTTTGAGTTGTACTCCTTCAGGCGCTGCACATTGGCCTATAGTGATTCAGTGGATTTGTTTCACCTCCTTGAGTCCACAGAGATGCAGATGGTGTGAGCCACTTTCTTATGGATACCAGCCACTCTGAGTTCTTCCAGGCTGAAGTTCCTGCCAGCTTGGACCTTGGTGTGGTATCTCACTGTAATGTACCTCACTATAGGCCTGATAAGACCGGAATTGGGGCAAGGGGCAATGCAGTGCGCTTTTGCCTGCTGGGCCTTGTGTCTACGAATCTTGTGAGTCTGCTGATTGAAGAAAATGTCCACTTGCCACTGCCAATACTTGTGGAAGTGGGGCTTCAGGATTGTGCCATTGCTACTGGGTGCCATCGCTGCCTCCTGTGCAGGAGAATGGCCTAGCAGGAAAGCCTCTGACAAACTTTCAACTTGTGTAGGAATTGTTTTATCAATCATACACTAGCAGTCTTGAAGATAACAGTTTCTAGTTGAGAGATGTAAAATTTCAGGACCTTCATAAGTACAATATAAACCAAATGTTACCAAAAGGATGATTGATAATTCCTAGTATATTGCCATTTCATCTGAAACCATCTTAATATTATTAAAAGTCATGCTGCATGCATAAAATAGAATCTACTGACAATAATATGAGCATTAATTTTAATAGTAGTTTAAAAGCAATAACCTGTGCTAATATTAGCTTAAATATTTTAATATATTTTCAATATTAATCTTTGATTACTTAACATAGATGTGTCACATTGTAGCTATCAAATAATATTATGTGTTTATTTCCAGGCCATTTGCTAAGAATAATAATTTATAATACATAGTAATTTTTTATTTCAGATTTTGGTGTTCAGGAAGGCTAAAGTCAAGTGTATGCATCTAGTTTGATTTTTGCGATGTTTTAATTTATAGAATAAAGGATCTTGTCAAGTGGGCATGTGCAGAAGGAAGACAATGTGTTGCAGAGTAGCGAAACAACTAATTATCAAAGAAATAAATAATTCATCTGTTCATGAAGGCTTTTCCACATTACCAAAATATCCTTCATTAATCTCCACATTCAGAGGATCTAATATTTCAAATATTAGACAGTACATGCAAGCTAAAGCACTATATAACATCTTTGTTTTTCCTATCCATCCAACTTATCTGTTGTTTACATTTACATTTACAGCAAATGAATGGTATTTTAATTTTTTGATAGTCATGCCTAATAATTACTAACTCCCCTTATGAAAACACTAATTATAATATTAGAAGTAATGTTCAAACCATAGAGCAAGACTAAGATTGCTGTAAATATAAATCTTATGTGTAGTCTTTCACTTATTCCTTGTCCTTCTTATTTATTATTCATACAACCAACAGACAATTTAATATAATTCCTCCAATGGTTCCCTTTGTTATCAACTAGTAACTTTAAAGCTGGGTTTTTAGCCTGAGACAGAGGCCTTCCTCACTCTTATTTAACTCTATGAATCCTGAAATCCACCTTCACTTGTTCTTATGTTTATGCTATTTTTTTGTATTATTTCTTCTTATTGGAACATCAACATTCTCATTTCAGGATATGTGATTTCTTTTGAACCTTCATGTGTCTCCAAATAGTTGACTTCTCATTCAGTAGATATGTCAAGATCTTCCTCTTACTCAAGTCTTTAAGTAATATGTTTTATTTTTTCTGTATTCCCTTACCCTGCTTCTGGATGAGAAAGTTTTACTCTTTCTCCAAGAAGCAACTGCAATGTTTCTTAGATATGAAAAATTTTCTATGAAATATCTTTACATGCTGCCACTCTATGAAAACATCTTAAATAATGTGTGATGGTCTTATTTAAGTTGTTCATGGCATGTAGATACTCTATCTTATGAGTCTTTCAGAAATTTTTGTATAATTACTTAGACTTATAAAAATATTATCACATTTTCTACATGTTTAAAATTTGGTCTGCTTTTTGCAGTATGTTGAGATTTTAAGCTGACATATTATTGTGATATGAAAGGATAAATTCAAACAGGTAAAGAAAGTTTAACTTTTAATGGGTCTGCATTTATTTAAATATGCTTGTAAAGAATAAAACAAATGCATCATATGAGATTCCTGAAGATGAGACTGTAGAATACATTTGCAGACTAAAAGTAAACTATACAAGGATCTAAAATAATAGGACAAAAGCAAAATTAATGAAACAAATTACTGTCCACCCCTGAAAATACAATATTTAAGACTGGATATTGGTTTTCTTCTTAAAGCCCTCTAGACACCTAGGAAATAAATGTTTTCATGTGTTATGAGACCTGGTGTTAACAAAGAGCTGGTAATATGTTGGATTCAAGCTCTTGGAATATGTTTTATGACAGATTTCCCACATTATATAGCCAGGAAGGAGCCCCTGGCAAAAGGGAAATTGATATAGGCTTTCAATTGACCAAAAGTAGCATTAGAACAAGAATAAAGTGAAGAGGTCTTATATCACCCCCCTGAGTGTCTAGAAATGACTTTTGATATGGAACTGGCAACTTTTGAAAATGAATCATAATAGTGGCCAATTACCTGGCTCTGAGCAATATGTTCAGATTTAATGAGGGTCTTTATCAATCTTCAAGATGTTTTAAGATAATAAATTCTGCAAAGTTGTCACTGAGATGTGACTCTAGTCTTTTTGAAAAAGGTTACACATTTACATGTGAGAGTTAATAAGAAGCTATATAATTGGAAGAAAAGCCCACAGATTATAATCAAAACCCAAGTGAGTTCATTATAATTATATTTAATTCATCAAATGACAAGAAATTTAATAAAGACTAGAACCAAGCTCATTTCATGAATAGAGAAAGATTCTGATCAGACTAGGTTTTACATTTTTCTTTTCTCATTTTAACTTTTAAATAGAAAAAAATCTACTGCAAATTAATAGATCTGACCTGAGATCTACTGTGAAGTGAGAGTTTGCAGGACTTTTTTTTGTTTGCCCTAATTAAGCGATCCGCAGTTCATTTAAAGTAATAATGTCAAAACTCTTTTTAGAGTCATTTTGCAATGTTGCAGTGCTGTTTTTTGAGGGAAGACGAAACCTAGAGATATCATAAAGATTTTTATTACAATCAATGTCCAAAATTAATTTGGCCCAATTAGGAAAAAAAGTTTAGTGATGAATTTTACTTCATGAATCAGTAATACTCTATAGCTTAGCTTAAGTAACTGCTTTTCCAACTCATAACTTTCCTTCTACATATTAACAAATGGCACTCTCCAAAAAGTGTATTTTGTAATTTTCCTTTAGTGTGTTTTAATAGCCACAAGCAAAGTATATACTGTAAATAGAAGTTTCTGTCTCACCCAGTCCTGCAGCCATTTAGTCCCAAATAAACGCACAGAAGCTTATATTAATTATAAACTGTTTGGCATATGGCTCAGGTTCCTTATTTAATTATAAACCAATTTCTATTAATCTATATACCTCCACTTGCTTCTGAATTACTGGAAAATGCCTGGATGTCCCATCTTTCGGGTAGCTATATGGTGACTATCTCACAACTCATCCTCTGTGTTCCTGTTAAAATCATTCTCCTAGTCTGGTAACCCCGTCTATACTTTGTGCCTGGAAAATTACTTCCTGTCTAATTGCCAAAAGCACTTTTATTCATCAACCAACAAGAGAAACCTATATATACAGCATATAGAGGAACATTATCCATCAATATACTTTTGAAATGACTTCTATACCAATAATAATAACTATTACCCTTAGTTTATTCAAGTCAATTGTAAATAAGAGAAAAAAGCATAAGAGTTGTTAAAGATCAGACAACCATGTGGTAATAGTAAAAGAAGGAGGATGACTTCTAATCAGATAACTTGTTCTTTTTTAATGTAATACCAATCCCATCATAATTCATTACACAGTTGTTTTCTATGGATCATTGAAACATCTGAAATGATGCCCATCCTTCCTTCTTCCTTCTGTTTTCCCCTCTCCCACTACTCCCTCCCATCCCTCTTTCTCTCCCTTTCTATCAAAGAAGGATAGGATTCATCCTTGAATAAACTAGACAAGTCCACTATCACTGAGCTAAACCACTGAATTACACTTCTCATATGTTTGTATTTAATTATTGTTTCACCTTTATATCATGTTTCATTTTCATTTTTCTCTAATGAATACTCAATTTCTTAAGTAAAAACTAATCCAAGACAAGGGCTGCATGCAGTGCCATTGTTCCTTTTATTTTCAATGTGCATAATAAATCAAGATACATATTAGAATATACATTTCAGTCCAATTTTATTTTAATTATTTTACAGAGTTATTACTTAACATTTTGGTGGTTGATTTATGCAAATCGTTACAGTGCTGTTTCACATACTATTATATTAAACAAGTAAATATTTTAGCATTATATTAGCTTAACCATTTAAAGGAAATAAACATACAACCCATAAGCTATATAATTGCAATACTTAGTAAATATTGTTTAAAATTTTCCTAATGCAAGCACATAACATAATATGGTATACATTTATGAACCAATTTAAAGTTAAATTTTGTATTTACATGACACCCAAATATGTCAATCCAAAGTATGACTTTTTGAAGTGAATGTATACAACTACAAATATCTTTTTCAATAGGAATTACTTTGGGATAATTAGGTTTAGAAAATGTAAACACAAAAGAAACTCCTTAATCAGAGTAAAACTTAACCAAAATACAAGAGACCATGATAAAGCCAGACTCAAAATAGCTAAGGGATTTAATAACTAAAGGAGCCATTATATCCCTACTTATTAATCTTACACATCATTTTCTTTCTTTATTTTTGTTTTTCCACTTTTTTCTCTTCTGACCTTGATCTTTTCTTTTTTCCTTGTTTTATATTCTCTGTCTCTCTGTCTCTGTCTTTGTCTCTGTCTGTCTGTCTCTCTCTCTCTCTCTCTCTCTCTCTCTCTGTGTGTGTGTGTGTGTGTGTGTGTTAGGATTTGAACTCAGAATCTCTTCTTTGCTAAGCGTGTTTTCTATAGATGTGCTATGTTTACAGTACTAAATACCCTTCAGTTTTAAAGGAGAGTGGTATTTAAGTGTGGACTCTAAATCATTTGGTTGAGAATACTTATTGCTTTCTTGAATCGTGTGTGTGTGTGTGTGTGTGTGTGTGTGCTTGTGTGTGAGTAAACTTCAGCTTATTTTTATCTTTTTTCCACTTTTTAAAAATTTAATTTAAATTAGAAACAAGTTTGCTTCACATGTCAATCCCAGCTCCCTCTGCTTCCCTTCCTTTCTAGCCCCTCTACAACCCTCCCCTAACCCCTTCCCCAGTCCCCACTCTACTCTCTAAGGAGGGTTAGGCCCTTGATGCAG